AATTTTAAAATGCCATTGAAAATCAAGGAAAAGTATGAAATTTTGTCTGTAAATCAGAGAAAATATATGAAATTTTAGGATGAGGAATTTATGACAACCCTAAATGTTTCATTGATATTTAAACATTTTCTGTGAAAATTCTTTTGCTGTTCCGGAATATTCGGCACATTGGGAATACAAATCGATCTTTTCATGAATGATTAACGTTAATTAGGTAACATTCGAAGAATTTTGACGATTAAAATAACTTTATGCCTGAATGAATGTACGTTTATGAACTCCGGTCATTCTTAACTTTCGGTTCTCACGTTTCGGCACTTCCGACTCGAATTCTTAATGTTGCTACGCTTAACTTACAATCTTGAATCTTTAGTTCTCGACTTACACTCGATATCGTCGCTGAACGTGAGTGGCATGAGCAAAACGTAAATAGCGGATGACATAATGTAAGACAAAGAGATTGTTTCCCCTTCTTTTTCATACGATGTGAATAACTGTCATTAGTTACTATACAATACTTGACGTCGACGAAACTGTATCACGCCTCAATCTGCCAGCATGAACTATCTATTGCACGTGGAACTTGCTATCTAGTAACGCAAAATAAACGGAACATTTTGCGCGATATATTGGCGCACCGAGGTGTCGAAGACGCTTGACCGTAGCATTCACATTTAGATATTCGAAAGGAAACTCGCTTGATAATGCGGTATCTCCACGTTTCCTTAATTCTATACGGATTCGTGTCGCGCGAGAGTCTCGCAGATACTTTGATCGACGATGAACCAAGCGTCGCCGACGCCTCGGACGATGCTCTAAAGTCGTATCGGAAAGATGAGGAACGACATAATGCAACGGACATGTATCTGGCTCGGTGACGGGGAATACAGTCGCCTTATGCAGTTCCGGGTGACCGAGTTTCCTGAACGACGAGAATTCCTCGCGCGTCCGTGCACGTGCTCAAGTCCGAGTCTGATCTCCCAACCATTCGTAGCTAAAAGTCATTTTAAGTCCAACCATCCAATTAATCTAAGAATGTTCAAGCATGTTTGTTCAAAACAAAATACCATGATAATATCTAGCCTGTGTATAATCAATGAAGGCCATAATTTTATGATGCTTTGCGCCTCAATTATTTTTCTAATATATAATTGTATGATAGAATTCTACTGTTCACAGAGTTAATTCTCTTGAAGAGAATTTAAAAAATAAAGCTATCGAAACGAGTTTTCTTTATAAATTCTTTTTAATCCGTTTATTTTCCAGAGACTATAGAATTGATTCGGGATATTGTGTGACCTCATGTGGGGGCGGTAGACTTATAATTGGCGAATTTCAAGTTCAATCTTTCATCCCACATACTGATTTTAAATTCGTAATACGGCTGCGTAAGCGGCTTCCAAGTTGAAGGTTACATATATGGCTGACAGCCACACTAATAAATGGAATGTCTATTGTTGCGAATATTCGTAAACAGGAAACCAGACCGAATCTTTTGGAATAGGCCGAGACTCATCCAGGGTTGTGGAGTCAAAATCGATTTTATTTCTATGACGTATTTATAGTTTTGATACATGTATTTGATAATGCGGAGCACGCCGATGATAGATTCCGCGCCACACATATGGATGGCCCGTCCTTTAAAACCCCGTTCTTTTCGTGTCCCCGGTACCAACCCTATTGTTATTACCAGGTCGAGTCACGGCCCGCGCTCGCGAATTCTCATTACCATTCGTATCTGCGAGGTACTATCGCTGCACCAGGACCCAACCTAGTTCCTATTTCCCATTATGCCCGTTCTATATCTATGTATATAGGGTGTCTACGGGATCGTGTCGCGACCCTGCGAGTTTTCCTTAGATTCACTCATCGATCGACCGCTCTATTCTGGGAGAGAAACGACATGTGCAGAAGATACTGAGACACTCGGGTTTAATTCAAGCATCTTTAACTCTAAAATGCTATCGATACATAAATTTTATGTACAAGTAAGTGAAATCATTGAGCACTAGGCTACACGTGGCAAGAACTTTGCTGAAATATCTAAAAATTTAAAACTGGATACAGATCTGAAAATGTATCGTACTATCAGAATAATTATGTAGGATGCTTAAACTGATTACTATACAATGTCAAAAATTTTTGTAGTATTATTTATTGCACATGTTTGAGTTTTCTATTGTACATAATTATTTTGATAACAAAATTATGTATCTACCTAAATTTTGGACACTTCAGTAAAATCGTTCCGTGTAGCTTCAGTCATTGAGAGTCCAATCTGTCACGTTAAAAACTGAGACAAGCTTTTAAAAATTCGGTCCGTTATCAGTTTATACTCCCTGATGGTCAGAATTATAAGAGAATGTAAATAATTTCAATTTTTGAACAGTTTTGTATTATTATTGTGTTATTGTATATTTTATTTCAGATCTTTGGAGACACGCAATTGAACTACATACTCCATATCATTTCAAGACGGATTTTAATAGTATACTTATTCTTTCTTTCTTCAAGTTAATTAAATTATTTATGTTTCTATATATAAAAAAGTTCAGATTATTTTATCACTAAAGGTGAAAAATGTATGAAAAACTTGAATTATACTAATTAAGAGTAGCCTACTTTCTTGTACGTAAAATTTACATACTGATAGTAATACTATATCATTCAATAACGGTAGCATTCTAGGGTTAAATAGAGCATGGATTTCTATATTTGAATATTTCGAATATCGCAACCTCGTTGATATCGAAGATGTTACTACTGTAATCTAAGAGTCGCGTTCTTAATATCACATTCTTTTGGATCATCAGCTATCAAATTTGTCCTTTCTCCAA